TGGCAAAGGCTGCATTGTGTAGAACAAATTAAACCTGAAATAACAGTTGTTTCAGATTATTTTTCTGAAAGCGTAATTCCATATATTCTTTTTCCTACTGGCTGCTGAAATGGTTTTCCCAATACTGTTTTATTATTCTGTTTTATTTCAACAATACATATATAGTAATTCTGTTTCCATTCCACTGACAGACCTACAGCCTCCAGTGGTAATTCTTTACCAGCAATTTTTTATAATTGTAATAACTATGGAACTTTGTGAAATATAGTGGAAATATTTTCCTAAGTTCATATACCATAAATAAAATCCCAATTCTCTTTTTTCCCTCCACCAAAAAAGAATGCACATGGAGATTTTTAAGTATCAAATTGATTCTGAACTCTCCATGTATTAGAATATTTTTCAGTACTTTAATATCTGGAGTTTATATGACTTTTACTTCTCTTTTAGTCCCCATCTGTGCTAAGAATTTGGACATATGCTAAAATACTTATCAAGGCACTTAAACACATTTCCATATTTTACCGTGTGCTTATGCCCTACTTTAGCTGTATGTGGTGAGGGTAAATTGAATTAACCCCCTGCATTGTGATCCTCAAAGGGGTTTAGGAGTCTAATGGTCCATCACATGCTCCCTTCTGTGTACAGCTGGTAGCTGCAGGGCTGTGGTTGCACCCCAAGAACCAGCTTTGCTGAGCCTCTTTTTTGGGCTTTCGTGGGACCCAGGAGTGGAGCCATGCCCCACAAGTTTACCTTTGCATTTAAGAACTTAAGGGTCAGGGGTTTAGGCACATTTAGGCAACTAAGAACCATATAACCATCAGCTTTGATCAAAAAGATTTTTTTGGCTGAATTGGGGTCCTAAGTAAGCTGTTGGTCCTGTGTTCTATCCTTGCCATAATGTTGAGGGAGTGTTAACTGGTCTGCGTCTTCAATTCCTTTATGTGGGTCAGATTCTGGCATAGTGATTTTGTTATTGTTTCTTTATAGGTGTAATAAAATGAAAAAATTGTTAACATTTTAGTTAATAAATATTTAGTCTCTCTCTTTTTGAAAAAGTGACATGTAAGTAGCTATGAAAAGAACTCAATGCTGTTAAAATAGTATCTTTTGTAGGTGTTTCCCAAAGGATGCAAATAAAAGCATGCATTAGATAAGTAAAAAGACGATTCAAGCCCAAGCCTTCCCTCCCTGTCTCTCCATCTCTTCTGATGTGTTTTTATGCAAAATCAAACATCTTTTGTGTTTAGGGAAAAGAGTAATAGAAGTGTCGGTGTTTGTTAACATATTTGACAAACTGTGGCAGCAAAAGCTATCCTTTTTATATTTTGGCATGAACAATCGCCCTTTTATTGGGCCATTAATGCTATTTTAGAGCATCATGCTGTATCCACAGGCAGTAATTTAGCAGCTGTTTATCAGGAGCTTTCATAGAGCTTTGAATAGTATTATAACATTCAGTAACCCTAACAACAGCATTTCAGAGTCGGTGCCAGTTTAAATGGGATATCCGTGAATGTAGTTGTTCAGGGATGCGTGACCCACATAACCTATAAATTTGATTGGAAGTTACAGTGCTGGCATAGGCTGATGGATAGCAGATTAGAGCCCTGATTAACCATGTGATTCACAGGCTGGGAATATATTGTCCTAAGAAAGATTCATCAGATGCAATCAGAATTTCAGGTGGTCAGATGAAATTCAAATCTGCTATAAGCTTTTTTTCTTTTCCCCCATTCCTTGTACTTTTCTTCTTAGCTTGCCCTCTGTAATTCATTTATTTATTTATTTTATTTCCAGAGCTGAAAAATACTTCTTTGATGAATCTGTTCCTCACCCTAAAGCTGTCTGTCTGTTATTCATCAGAAAGCAGGTTGCAGTTCAGTGAGCAGAAGAAAAGATTTTAATAGAAGCTGTGCCAAGGGCTGTAATGCATCATTTTAGGGCCCTAATTACATTACAATGACAAATATCAATGGTGACAACAGCAATAACCTACATCCTTTAATGGCTATGCTGGAAAAGGAGTTTGGGCGCTGCGCCATCAGATTAGACTTGGTTTCAAAACATAGGCCATTAGAAGTGTGTGTGTCCACCGCATTATCGGCTGATAACTGGAGCCCAGTGGAAAGACCTGTAAATAAATGATGCCTCTCTAAAGCCTGGTCCCACGGGACAAAAGACGCAAAATTAGATGACCACGGAAACAGGCGTGTTTCCGAGGAAATTTTGGCTTTCCAGGGCTGCCTGATTTTACGAAATCACACTTTTTACCTTCTCCTGCCAATTAGGTAAATCATAAAAATCCCATCAGCCTGATGTCTTTAAGGGAAGAGAGAAGATCCTAAACTGACAGGGTTTTAAAAATCTGTGTAACTGTGGAATTGTGGATCACAGAATCACAGAAAAGACTTGCTGTTCTGCATTCCGGTGGGATTGATATTAGGAGTTTTATTACAGTTGTGTAACCGTTCATATTCAGTCACCTGTTTTCAGTTATTTGCAACTTTTTGGAAGATGCTTTTTAGCTTAACTTTTCCCAGGCTCAGAATCTACTGGAGGTGAATTTTTGTATCAATACTGAGCAAATATGTTTCGACCACTTTTTGGCCAGAAGAGCAGTAGGAGAGATATGTACTTCTCTGTTTGGGGAAGGGGCAGGGAAGTGGTCAAAAGAAAAACATCATAGCTGAAATAGCTAGGGTTGAGTACCTTAATTAAGAAGAAATGCCGCATTTGAAGAAAATTATTTTTGTTGACTAAACTATATTCTAGCCTAGAATTTATGGGTTTGATGGAGAGGTCAGTGAATGAAGTTTTACTGCCTGTGTTATTCAGGAGGTCAGATAAGATAATTGTTAACTGTCCTTTGTGGCCTTAAATTGTGTGAATCTACAAGCCTTTTAAAACTACATGCATATCACTTTGAGCTGGTTTTATTCTCAGTTCCTCAGCAGTGCAGTAGAAACATCCAGCTAACGTAGCTGTGGTAGAAGAGTGGCCTTCTGCCGAGCACAGCCAAGGCAGAGGTTCCCCCCAGGAGCTGCACAGGAGGTGGGTAAGGCTGTGACAGGCAGGTGGGTATGAGGGGTTGTTCAGCCATGGAGGAAATAATCATATGCCTTTTTTCACTAAGGCACATACATGTGCTAAGTGGTGCATCAGAGGGGCTTCAGCTCAAGTCAGCATGGCAGCACTTTGGAGTTTTTGTATGGAAAAGCCTCAAAGAGCAAGATGTGCAGTTTGGTCTTTGGTTTTAAGACTCTTGGGAGATTCCTTTAAAATAAAAAAAAAAAGCCAGTGTAGCTGGGACCCAAAATTTAGAAATGACTAAATTAATGGTGTCTGAACCACTACAGCACAGGTACTTTGCAGCTGAGTATTACATTACAGTCTACAATTCCTTAATCAAATATTGTTCTCAAATAATGCCATATTGGATCATACAGCCTCTCTGGCTGAGGCTTAGATGCACACATCTTGTCACTCCCTGTACTTGCACTGTGTAACAAGCAGTTTGTAAATCTCTGTGTCAACTAGTAAGGTGAACATTGTCTATTTAAAGGAGTATTTAAGTTTTACATTGTGAGGTATCTGGTATTATAGGCACATATAGAGCTTTGAAATTAGCAGGTAATTTAACTTTGTGGTGAGCAGAACGTATTCTTAATGTCCTGTGCTGCCGGTTAAACCAAAACATGTATGGTAGATGAATGTATCTTTAATGAGTAACTTTAATGAGATGAGGACTTGCATAAACAGTGAAGATAAGTGAGAAGAAAGTGGGACTGTGTAACATAGAAATTGCTGTATAAATAACCTATGGTAGTTTAGTTAGGGTTCAGAGAAATAAAGAAATTGTGTTTCAGAGGGGCATGTGTTAACTCAAGCCTATCACACTACGCACAAGGGGGCAGAGTTAGTTTCATATGTACTCTTCCACGTAGTTTATCACATTGTTTGGTTACGTAACTGTGTAGTCATAATATTCCTTGAACCCAAATCTATTTTGTATGTGGTTCTGACTTTTTCACTCTAAGTTTTGAGCCTTTCTGTTCTATAAGTTCTTTTCTAAGTGTTTACTGTTTAATACCTAACATAGCAAAAAGGGTGGAAGGGTGGCCTTTAAAAGAAGGAAAGTTAAATGGCACAAGTTTTTATGTCTTTGTCATACGATTAGTGACTTTGCAAGAGGAAGAACGTTCTGTCATACTGTATGATGAGGAACTGATCCTAGTTACAATTTATTACGAGAAGTTACAATTTATTTTCAGAAAGTCTACTTGGCTTTAAATACTCTGTTTCTAGAGCTGTCATTCTTATATTTCCAAACTTCCTCCATCTCTGTTGAGGTTTGCAGATTAAATACACACAATAAGAATTGATCTCCAGTATGGAAATAAAGCATTGCGTATTATTCACTTCTGATCACGACTGCAACATGGAAGTAATTACTGTTAACCTCGGGTTTGATAACAGCATAAATACAATGCAAGACTGCAGTATTGCTTTCTAAAATATGTGGTAGAATGATTATTAGTGAATTTGTACATTGTGTTGCTAATATTCTTATAGTATGCAGCATCAGTATAGAAGTAACTGATTTATTTATTCACTTCATTTAGAGTAGCATTGCTGTAGTTTGAAATAATCCTTTTTTTTTTGTCTCTTAGGAGAAAGTTCAATATACAGTGTTTTGTCTTTTTTTTATGTCTCCTGAAGATTTTTTCTTTAAATGCCTTTGCATAATCAGAATTAACTTTTCTTTTTGTTATTTTTAAACTATGTTTTTTAAGGAAAAAATTTTAGCCAGAAATTTTTAGTTTCCCTAGATATTGTTAAACTGGTGTCCAAACACTTCTGTTATTCTGATAATCTGTCTTGGCCAGAGGATGACTAGAGATGAAGAAAAAACAAACAAATGTGTCTTCTGTGTACATGGGTGAGAGTTGCATCTGAGAATTTATGTATTTGAACTGCTTTCTTCTTGTCACTTGCAGGCAGAAATTGTCAAGAGGCTGAATGCTATATGTGCACAAGTCATTCCCTTCCTGTCCCAAGAGGTAGGTAGTTGTTTGTACTTGTGCTGATCTGAATGATTGCCTCATCGTGTCTATTACAAAAGTGGGAGTTTGTGTTAAGACTGTTTCCTTATGAATCTCTTGGTGCTTGTAGGTGACTTTCCACTGTGCTGTTATCACTATAGCTTCACTATTTTCTCTAAGTCCATTATAACATCATTTAAATATATTTATGAAATTGAACATATTGTAATCTACTAGGCAAAATTTTAGTTGTTTAAATATTTTGTTCTCGTGTGCAGTGCAGTTTTTGTCATGACTATGACTTTGCGACCTGCAATCAGAGGACAGCTTGCAAAAATGCTAGAAAGGCATGATTTGTGCTACGTTCTTGGCAATAGGAATTGAAATTCAGCATAAACTTCTGTTTTGGTGTACTGAATAGTGGTGTTCAACACAGTAGGCATACCAATGCAACTTTTTTTCTGCCTTTTTTTCTCTCTATATCCCAGATTACTTATTGCCTTAAAATCTTTTATGTTTTCTGTGTATTTGGGGAATACAGACAGAAGATTGAAACTCACCGTAAGCTAATTTCTCCAAGTGCTAATTTTCTCCAAGTTATGATTTGCTGGTATTATCCTGAGTGCATTGTAGATACTTTGAGGGGCGCTGGGATTTGGGGGAGATGGTGGGAGCTGGTGAAGGAGCCTTGGAGCCACAGGCATATGTGAAATAATATGAAAGCGTGGTTCATGAAAGGAGGCCTCGGGTCCATAACAGCTTCCCCTGCCCACCCTGCTGAAGGAAAGGCCTTAGAGACTGAGGTCTGCTGGCACAGGCTGGCACTTACCTTTTTGACCCGTGGTTTTGTTTCAGTAGAAGTGGTAGATGAAAAGTCTGAGCTGGAGGGTGTATTTGTGTGCATCGCATCTGTAAAACATCGTGCCTGAAAACCCGCTGTGGCTCTTACCTCCCACCTTTTCAGCTGTTCCATAAAATGCTGCTGCTTTTCAAGGGAGCTGCTCATCCTGCTGCAAGGGAGAGGCTGTGTGCTTGGTGTTAGCGTTCAGCTAATGCTCTGCATGTGTGCACGCACGTGTGCATCTGGGTGTGTTCAAAATGAGAATAGTGCTATCAAAACTAGAACTTGACAATGTTCATGAGTGCCACTGTACTCTGCTTATAAAGATGGATTTGTGGAAACTAAATGATGTGTAATGATCTAGTTACATTGCTTGGGGACGAGAATTCAAGTCTTGTATGGATCTAAAATGAGTAGCTGTTGATTTTTGTACTTTGACTGCTACAGAATCTCTATACATCTAGTTACAGGGTTTTATTTGCTGTGCAGGAATAGCACAGCATATAAAAATGAGGTGTAAAGCTGATTGATACTCCTGCTAAAGTAAGCACTAAAATGACACGATTTTGAAACAAAGGCGGGGATGAGTACTTAGCAGGCAAAGCTGTGATCTTGGCAAAGACATGGGATCAGCATTTCCACGACAGAGACATCTTCTCTAGAGTATGTAATACTGTGTTTAGAAACTATGTCCTAGTATACTACTACTGCTGCTGCTATTTTCAGCTGAAATGCTAAACAAAATTTTATTACCATACATGAGTAAGTCACACTGCTCTGCTTGCTCTGCTTCCACAAACCCAGCCCATGTGCTTTCTTGTAGCCAGTGTTCCCTGCCAATGAGACAAGCAAAGGGATAGCTTGGGTGTAGAATACATTTGGAGAAAGATGTGTTTGAATGACAATGATTTGGCCTTTGTTTGAATGACAATGATTTTGGCCTTTGATTTTGGAAATTCTAGCCTCTGCCCCCTCTACATGCTCACATGGAATTGGGGGGGCGGGGGGGGGAAGCAAGAAAGGCTGTAGGTTTTTTAACTTTGATGTTAGTGGCAGCCCACTCAGGTGAGTGTGGATGTTTTCTCTTTTTGTCTGCTACCTAAGCATCATGGGCTTCTGTCCCTAGAGATAAGTCAGCCTGTAGTCATTTTCTTTGAAAGCTGGTATTGGTACTTTTTCAGTCCCTGCCTTAGAAGGAGAATTGTGATGGCTGCGCATTGTACTTGTTCTTCAGTCGAGAAGAATCTCCAATGTGGTGCTCACATGTGATAATTTATGAACTGCGAGCCAAGTTTAACAACCTCCTGGATGTAGAGAGTGGTTTAAAAGTAATTCTGGACTTTGACATTGCAGCAACTCGTCCTTAGTACGATAGTTGTAGGAACTATATAAGTAGACAACTGAGATGGTCCAGATTGTAAATTTAGAAAATGATGTTGTCCCACTTCTGTCCTGGGTACAGTACCACCCAGTGAGGGCTTAAGTGTACCAGTGTCAGTGTGCTTAATGACTGCTGTTTACCTTGTTAGGCTTTAGATTAGAGCTTTGATTTAAGCAGTTTTAGATCAGAAAACAGCCTCTCATATGGCTTCTCTGCTAGTGAGCCTCTATTTTTTAAAACTGTGCCCCATAAAATTTCCTTCACCTGTTCTCGTGTCTGGTTTACTGAGTCTTACAGCTCTTCCTCTGTGTGTGTTGCATGGTGTCAGAGCGTTTTGGGCTACAGGGGAGATGGAGAACTCAAAAGTTAAGGACTTCAGCATTTTTACATGCATTGCTAAAGACAAAACAGGACACTTCCACAGATCTGGTCTACAAATTTTCTTCTCTGGAGGGAAGTGTGCATTTTAGTTCACCTAGCAAGAGGGCAGGGGGACTACACAGCAGAAGAGGACTGAAAAGGTGAACACCAAAAAAACTTCTCATGTGTCTTGACAGTGCCACTGATCGTGATAGTTTTCATACTGGGGTTAGGAAAATCATTGTAATTGTTTGACCTCTGTTAGTAGAATCTTACTTAAATCAGTTTATATTCTCATATGCTGATGAGTCAAAAGGGAACTGATTTCTGGACTCGAGCATTCTGCTAGCCTTGTTTTCTGTCTAATTTGTGTCTTTAAAAAGTGAGTGTCTTAATGGAAGTCTATTTCATTGTCTAGATTAATAGAGAATTGAATTGCGCTGTGCTTTTGCTGTTTATGCATTTTGCATACAGTCTAATTGTGGAATAGTGGCTGAAAAATGTGATCAGGCTCCTTTGTATTGTGCCTGAGGGAAAAATGAACAAAATACAGTGGTTACATGCACTGATGGCAACATTATTGCCTCATAATAGCACCAGGTTAACTTGTCTTATTGCTTGTTAACTTTGTAAGGAATCAATGGCTTGCGATAACTCACTTAGAAATAAGAAATCGTGGCCAAAATTGCTAGAAATCTTGTGAAAAGGATGCAATTATAATACATCACCCTACTGTGTACTAGTGTCTGCTTTGTTTCAGGGGCAATCCAGTAAAGTATTCAGGAAATTAATTCTCCAGGCTTCAGTCACTTTTACTGTGCTATACATCACTTATGCATATATTGAAAATAAAGTTCCTAACCTGCCTAAATATGCAGTCAAGTGATACCTTGTTTTTACATTGACTCTGACATAGGCATACTGTAAAAAACAGCACCAAGAAATACAAGCTTCCCATTTTGATAAGAAATAGTGACTTTGTTGTTGAGGCGTGAGATGAACCTCAGGTGTGTTCAATTTCTGCTGCGGTTGCAGGCTTCTTGTGTTGCAACAGTCATTTTCCACCTCCATCACGTTCTGAGATACCAGTGTGCTCACAGTACTTCCTATTGCATAAAGTGGGCGGGGTGCCCGCAGAGTTGTAGGTAAATACTTGGAGGTTGTTAGCACTCAGTTTTGGTCTGCTGCAACTGGTATGTTGTTTGATGTTCGCATCATTGAATGATCTAGCCAGTTAAGATGCAATTCATTTTGGGTATAAAGCTGTAGATCGTGCCTCTGCTAATTTACACTTCTTCTCAACCGACTTTACCATCTGCAGCATAGTGTGACACTTGCACAGCCCCAAGGCTTTCAAGCTGGGGCTGATTCCTGTCTGGTCGAAGTGGTACGTGTGGCTGGCTGCAACCTGTGGCTATCATTGTGGCCTATCAAGTGGGCTATGCGTGCTGAATGCCCTCATATGCTAGGCAGTGCTATTTGTTCAGTGTGACTGGAGATACTCATGTATCACAGTTACCTTCTTTTGAGTAAATATTGACTTTGTTTATATTCATGAGACACACACAAGCTGGCTGATTTACAGCTAACAATGTAGTTGTGGCAACCTGGATCTCAGCACAGCCTGCAAAAAACTGCTTGAGAAGCCAGACAACTGCTCACAGTATTGGCCCCTGTCAACTTCCATGATGCACTGCAAGCACTATGTAGGCTGCAGGAGTCTGTATTAGACTTTTTTTTTTTTGGAAGGGTCACTTTCCCTGCCAAGTGCCAGCGAACTGGCTAATAACAAGCTAGAAAGATTGCTCTTCAATAGGGTTCTTCAGTTCCCTGTGCACAATAAGGTGGTCAAATATTCTTAGAAGTACAATAAAATGCCAAGCATTAGCATGCATACACACATACAAACAAACATACAGAAAGGAAATGCTGCATGTAGTCTTCTTCTTTCAAACACTTTGTTGTGAAATGATGGTTGTTTTCTCTTTACAAGATAGATGTGGGCCATAACTTGCTTATTCTCTGTACATATATTCCCTAGAGGTGCTTCTAAAGTTCAGTAAATTTGGATGAAGGGTGTGAGATCCATTATATAGAAGCAGAGCAGGAGTCCTTACGTGGTGTTCAAAGGGAAGTAGTTGTTGGCCTGAGATGTGAGGGACTGGGAAGACAAAATTATTTTCCCCCATCTTAGACTTGCCCCAGACTAGAGCTGAAACAGTAAGTACCAGGAAGCTGGCAGTTATCTGTAATTCTTCCACTGAGGAAGGCATCTTGTTAGCAATTTATGCATATATTGCTAACAATGTTCTTACATTTTTCTAAGGTGGTTGTTATATCTTGGTTGAGTTACAGTGCCTGGATGCAGTGACCCTGCTGGTCTCTTTTAGTTTTCTAAGTGTGTGCCATATTCCACAGTAAATGTGTGTTTGCTCTATTTCTCACTTGTGTTCTTGATGCGGCCTCATCCCATTCTGCTGTCTCCAGATCAGGCTTTTGAGAATGGCACTGCTGCAGTTCTTGAGCAAGACCTGGTCTGTACTCCCTCTAAGTAGATAACAACAACAAAATAATATGAATAAAACGTCGCAGAGCCCGCTTGCTTCGGCAAAGTGAATTGTTCGTCGATTTTTGCTTTGAATGTTGTCGGCAGTGCTGGAGAGAGGCTGGAATTAGGTGTTTTTAGCACCTGTGCCTGTGTATGTGTGCCAGAGGGAATTTCAGCTGCTTGGTTACTGTCAGCATGACTCCCCTGTCATTGGGAGCTGTGGGGAGCTCCGACGCGATATAAAAAGCCCAGGTATTTTCCATCATGCTGCACTGCCTGTGCAGGAGCCTGGGTTGGGTGACAAGACAGTGTGGTGACACAACGTGATGGTGAAAAAGCCTACATCCTTCTTGTGGTCTCTGTTGTTGCTACCCACTGTGAGACTAAAAGGAGGTGATTTTCCAACACAAGGCAAGGCCAGACACACCGCTTATTACAGAAGGCAAGAAGGGGTGAAGAGAAGAGACAGGGAAGAAGTTAAAAAGGAGAAACGATACTAGTCTGCGTGACAGGCGGGACAGGGTATTGAGTTCATTGCTCTGGCTTGTTAAATGCAATGCAAAGTACTATTTTCCCATAACTGGAGAAAATGGGTCTGTCATTTGCTTGCGTGCACAGAGGAAGGCTAGCATTAAATGCATGTGAAAGCTGCAACTCTGTGTCTATATTTGGTTGGGAGAAAAAAGTAACCCTTTTTTTGTTGCTGCTGTTTTCACTTGACTGTCAATTGCTATGTGATCACTTGATGGGCAGGCTAATATGTACTGCTTGATTTTAACATAATGTTGTTTGTTACTGGCATGCTGGGCGGGGAAGGCGTTCAGTGACTGGGTAAGCACTGGAGCCGTTCATCCTCGGATACCTGTATGGGCTGGGCCAGCCAGCTGCTGTCCTGGGAGCCCCCCGCCTGCCCTGGGTTCCAAAATGCCAGGGGCCAGCCGATGGGCTCTTCCAACCCCATAGAGCAACATGCCTTTATCCACTGGAGTGTGCGGTTTTGTGCCCATAATTCAAAGTAGCCCTGGGGTCACTCAGGGCAGGCCCCACCGCGGGGTTTCGGGAGCTGCGAGGGAGTCTGTTTGGTTGCTGCAATGAGGTGGAAGTGATGGAGAGGCTAATTACAGGCCATCTATTTTGGGTCTTTTGCATGCTATGCCACTGAAGATTAAATCAATGTTAAGCAGCTAGCAATAGGAGAGTTTTAATTGTCTCTACCGTACCTAATTTAGGTTCAGTGTTACAAGGCCCATGGGTTTTCTCCTCTCTGTGAAGGCTTTATCCCAAACTTATTAGAATCAGTGAAAGATGCCCTGTGTGGCTACTTTAGGGGATTTCTGTCTTGTAGTGCTTTCCAGCAGAAATCTTAGAGTGAGATTTTGATACTCTACCCCTCCACCTTATCCTCTTCTCACCTGGGAATGAAATAATGTTTTTCCCACATATTCATGACAGCTATTCTTTGTAAGTGTGCTGTAAAGGAAAGGAAAACATTCAAACTATTGTGAAGTCGACTTACTTTTCCAAAACCTATATGAAAATCAGAGTAATTTCTACAGTAACTTTCAAGTTTCCTGGCTGGCTTTCTGTAGACCCCTCAGTACCTCTCTTGCCTGTGGCCCTGGGAACAAGACTTAAGTAAATGGGTGTTGGAATTGGATGGTCATATATGCAAATCAAGAACTAGATCCCTTTCTTTACATCAGTGCAAAAAACCCATCGCTTAGGAAAGCAAATATGACTGTAAACTTTGTGACGACCGGGTGATGATAACTCATCATCAGGAATTTGAGGCTTGAGTATTATAATTTCGTTTTTAGTGGTTATCTGTGATGGGCATACACCATTGCTTTTTAAAATATTTTTTTAAGATTACCAAGAACACATTTGCTAATGTTTGATCTGCTTTCTTTTTCTTTACATTGTCTGCTTATAGGTGAACGGATTTAGTTTACGTTAGCACTGTAGCTTTACAAAACTCTAAATAGGATTGCTGTGATTCTGTTTGCAGCAGTATATTATTTGCTTTCCTGGCATTTCCTTCATTTAATTATTCTTTGCTTAAAAGCAAACAAACCTTTAAACCATTTTCTTCCTTCCAGGAGTGTTTCTAAATTACCTCCTTCGTTATTTGCATTTATCCATTTTTCGTAATCGAGGTCAGCATTTCTTACCACTACAGGTGATTTTTTAGGCTTGCTTTTCCTCAACCAGAGGGCTTTTATGGGAGAGAGTTTAAAAGTGAAGATACCTTTTTATTTGTGGGTTGCACTGAGAACCGGCAAATCTGAGACTGCCAAGCTCTGAGGTAGCGGAGCCCGTCCTTACAGCTCCCTTTCCCAGCGGTGCTCAAGGTGCTGTCTGGGGAGAGTTTGATGCTCTTCCACCCACTTGCGATGGAGAAAGTCTTGAGGTTTTGGATCTCCACTTTATTTTATGCAGTATTTTGCTCCTGGTAAGGATGCACAGGCGATGTTTCTGCACAGTCTGTACCTTGTCTCTGCTCTGACCATGTGCACTGCCATGGAGGGCAAGCTGGAGGCTTTAGAGACTCTCAGTCCTTTCCTTAAACTTTGTGCCTCAGAACATCTAGAGGTGGGTTTCAATGCAGAGCTGATGTTTCATTGTTACAATTTCATCAAATCTTGAGATGGGCAAGACCTCAGTCCTCTCTGCGTTCAACCTGTGGATGTAAATCAAAGATGACTAACTCCCAATGCGGATCACACAATTTAATCGCAGTTCCTCCTGAACCCCTATTTGTCATGTGTAATGCTGATCCTGTGAGGCTGCCTGGGCAGATGAATTTGCCACCAGTGGAGCTTAGAACAGAAGTGGATCTGGTTGCAAGATGAGCACCTTACTTTATTTGTAGTTGATGATTTCAACTAAATACCAATCAGTTTTCAGTACGTAGCAATTTGGAATTTACTGCAGGAATACAGCATCGTTCAAACTGAGACAGTGTAACCACTGAAGCTTATAAACTGTGTTGTTAATTAGACCATGTGCTTTTGATGGACTTTTAAAAGCTATTAAAATTTCCATGTTGGGGACTGAAATAATTACTTCTCTTTCACGTGTTTGACAGAATTGTGAATGGCATTTTAAATTTCTTTCTTATGGTTGCACTGCTTTGAAATGTACCTAGAAGAAGAATCTGCATATCCTTCAGTGATTTGGGTGCCATATGTATATTGAAAATACATGCCTCTCGTTTTCAGTCTGCTTTTCTTTTTTTTTTTTTAAATAAAAAGAAGTTCCCATGACTGTAAGGAAAGTGGCTTGCATTTTGTTATATAAATTCCAGAGCACGAAGTGCTGATGAACAAAAGGAAGACAGTTAACTGTTTAGCCAGGTTGTGAAATAGCTCTTCAGAAAGCAAAGGTGTAATTCCTGGCAACTAATAGCATACAAAGATCATCCCCTTACCCGATACTCTTGGAGATCAACACAGAATGTCACTCTCTGTTAGAGAATGATTATTTCAAGCCCTGCATGTGTTTGAAAAGCAAAGAAAAAAGAACCTGTGCTTCGTAATTCAGAAAACAAATAATTTTGTTCTGTTTCTGATCTTCATTTATAGCACCAGCAACAAGTGGTGCAGGCTGTGGAGCGTGCCAAGCAAGTGACCATGGCAGAACTGAACGCAATCATTGGGGTACGTGGTCTTTCCATTTAAGCTCTAATAGTGTTTGTAAATAGCTTTTTTTTTTCATTTTCTCTTTTATGAACTCATGTCCATCAGGTGGGCAATATTAGTGGACAGAGGTGAAGTCAAGTGGCTTAATCTCATTACTACCTGAAAATTTTTGCTTGCACTGTGCTGAGAAGACAAACAGGGTAATTTATATCTGTGTTGCATACATTCCCTGAAGCTGGATTAGTATCTGTTTTTCTGTTGTCCTTTCGAAGTAATATTTCTTTCTTTGTATACCACCTTCCAGTCTGCTTCTGCAGCCACAGTAATGTGTAGCCGTCATATACCACGCTGTGCTTTAAGGGGGTTTATGCTATCCCTGCTCCCTGCTTTTTCTGGTTGGTGGCTCAAGGTTTTGCATATTCACTACACTTTTTTTTTTCCGCATTCAAAAAGAGCTGTTACATTAAAAACCCAAGAAAAACAAAAAAAAACCACAAAAGATCCCCAACAACCAAAATTGATGGTTAAATAACACGTTACCAGTGTGCTTATAGTTGCCCTGCTCCGAGTCATCTAAAAATATGGGTGTGTGGAGCCTCTCTTCTAAAAGCTTTACTGCCAGCAGTATTAGCCCAGTGTAGCAGTCCTGCAAGATTTTATGGGTGTGGGTAGCCACAGTGTTTACATTTTACAGTTGGAGAGGAGAGGCATAACAATGAAAACCATGGTTGTTCACACTAAATAAAATAAAGGTGAGAAGTCATAGTTTAATAGCACATTATTCACATGTATAATTATGCAGCTGGTGCAAGCAGTTGTTTAAGTTATTCTAATGAAGACACTACAACTGCACAGCCCATCTTCTGCACCCTCCCAAATGCTTTTTCTTTTGTGTATAGATTACACATAAAAGTCTTTTCCTTTTTTTTTTTATTCAGTGTATCAAACACACTTTGAAATGCTAATTATTCCATTTACTTTCATTAAAATTCAAATTGCTGAGTGAAGATGTGGATAAGGGTCGTCGAATAATCAATCTGAAGTGAAGATATTGCTTCAATTATGCCTCTGTCTTTTAACAAGGAAATCAGGACTCTCTGATCATTGCTGACGGTAGTGTAGAGCAACGGTCTGATTGTAGCTTGTTTTTAATAGACTGTTTCTAACTATTTTGTATCCCTCTGACCACAAGAAAACACTGGTAGACAATTAGGAGATATAAATGGAAAAGAGTAACCTTTATTTCCTCTGAAGTGCCCGTTAGAAAGAAGGGGGTGAATCCGAGCGAGTCGTGTAGAATCATGAATAACATTTGTTGTATGTCTTTTATGCTCCAGTGGGGAGAGTGGGAGATGAATAATTTCCCAATTAGTTTTCATTACCTAACGAAAAATATTGTCTTATATTAACATTCTTTGCATAAATTAAGTAGCTAAAGATTTGCTTCTTTGTTAAGGAAGTCTTTATATGTGTGTGCTGCATGTGTATATGTACATGTACCATTGTGTGTGTGTGTGTGCATGCACATGCATGTGTATGCATAGTTCCCCATCTGCTTGTGCAAATTTTTGTCATCCACCTTTGCATGTATTAGAGAGACTACAAAAAAGCAATTTGCTTCCTAGTAAAGAATGAGGTGGTTGATGCAAACCTTATGATGGTATAGATACTAGCTATTGCACTCCTCATTTAAGTTTATCCTGCTTTCATAAACCACTAAACCACACAGAATGAATACAAAGAGAGGAGAGACTTGTCTGGGAGCCTGGCAGAAACTTCTGTTGGTCTTCTCCCACTAGACAGAAGTAAATTTCTTTTTTGTTTGTTGCTGTCTGAATTTATCTGTTCACATCAATTGTCATTCTGCTGCCTCAGATTTCAGAATATTTTGAGTTTTGGTTTTGTGCATTAAGATTGAACAGCTCTCACCTCCCTCATAAGACTGACTTTTACCTTGCTCTACTGCCTTTTTTTCACTGTTATGCTTTATGTCGACTTAGGAAATGCTGTGTGGCACTCTTCTTAGCTTTAGAGAAACAGGAGCAATACGGAATGAAAATTTTTTGTTCATTGCATTTGAAGAGAAGTAATCTAATTGATTCATAAAAAGATGGAATAAATACAATAGCAAATAATCAAGAAAGCTTAAGTTTTAGTTGCATGAATACCCACAATAATGTTATGTCTGCACTTAGATTTAAGCCTGAAAATGTAGCATGGAACTAAAAAACAATGTGTTACATTCAGTAAAGTGGATACCAGAAAAAATAAAACTAAGAATGTAATTAGAAATCGTGGCCTTTCTAGATGACTAATTGTGTTGTCTTATATTATGTTGCTGTTTGATAAGTCTGACAGAGTTTGTGTTCTTTTAACTCCGTGATATTTTAAAAGCTTCGGAAGTTCATTTGCTCTTTATAGCATATAGTATATATCTTTGAGTTACCCATTGAACTGTGTATTAAGTGAAGACAGAAGCAGTGTCTGGGTTATTGAAATACAGCTCTAGCTTAAGTTTGTGCTTTGGAGGGCCCTATTCAGTTCACTTCACTGATGCTAAACCCCTTTGGTTTGAACAGAGAAACCCTGGGTTTGAGTTCAAGATAGATTTTACCAGAAAGGAGGGTGTCACAAGAAAATAATCGAATGTGCACAAATCATGTCTTTCTTTGTGTTTCACATTATATATTTTTGTATGAATGTGCTCTGATTTAATGGAATCTGATGAAGCACCTTTTAACTTCGCAATATTATTCTATCTTCATTGGTAAATGAACCAAATCACTGATCCATGCAGTTTAAATGCAAAATACTGAAGTGAGCCTGGAACCCAGAGAGACTGCTTGTTCTGCTGACAATAAACTAGTTGTGTTTAATGGAATGAAACACAGTTATAATGACTTCTTTCACAGGTCATGTTCAGTTTAAAACTGTTGACAGGCTGAAACAAGGTAAATATCATCTGTCTTCTTCAGGAGAGATGCAGGGTGAAAAACTGAACCAAAACTAGATAGATATCATAAGCATGCTGTAGGACTGTAAATCTGCAGGCATCGAGACTCTGCATCTGGTGTTCACCGTGGACAGTATGGTGCAACATTCTTGCTCAGAGCAATTTGTAGTGCACATCCAGAGCTCCCTTTTAGGTTGGTTGTATTGAGGTGAGCAGTGTGATGTACCCAGTTGATCTCGTCATGTGTCATAGCTGCCGTGGTTTTAAATTAGAATCTGCAAGATCACGCTGTTTGAACAACACACAAATTGTAGCCTTAAATCAATAATATGATCTAATTAGGAATGATATTTTCATTTCCTGTATTATTAAATTGAGTTGTCTAACTCTCTTAAAATGTTTTTGAGTTTGGTGTGTTGTGTTTTATTTAAATCCATTATACTATATGATCGGAACATGCTGTGTCAGTGTGGTTATGTTTTAATAAGGGAACGAGGAACTTGTAACTTTATAAGAATTTTATCAGTCTATTTTTTTTTGTCCCCTCTGTTTAAAATAGTCAGTTTTCAGCTGCAGTAGGGTAGAAAGGCAGAAATGGAGGTTACTGCTTGTGTGCCTGTTTATCATACAGAGAGAGATAAATGTACCAAAAACTTAAGAACAGGTATGTGATGGTGTTCAAAGAAAATGTAGTTTAGCACAGGAAATGCTGAACCTCAATTTTTAGCAGTGACATTTTAATGATAGGAAGTCTGCAAAATTATTTGCCATCAATTGTGAAGGCAATAACAAGCCTTGGTGGTTTTTCACACCCTCTGTGTTAAGTGCTTTCAGAATGACAGTGTAAACTGTGTTGGAGAACTCCAAGGAAGTAAAACTGATTAAAATGTTCATGCTTGAATGGTGCTGATGGAATAGTTCATTTGGACTTTCTGTACCTCCTGCAGCTCAAGCTGAAATATTAAAATTCAGTGGATTTAAATCTCTCTCCCTCAGCACAGGAAAAAAACATTACATTTTAATAGGTTTTAAACTCATAATTCATTGATTTGGAGCAGCACTATTAAATCTATTTAAATATTACTTGTATTACTAAGGAAATGATTTAAATGATTTTTCTTTTACTATTCTATACATCTGGCTTAAAAAAAAAGGCTTCAGTTTAATTTTTAGGCATTTTGTTTTATTATGTCACTTTTATTATCTTCTTTGAAAATAAGCAAATGGCAGTTGCTGGAAGAAAGGACTCCTGCGTTGTCACATGTAATCATCAAGCTATAAACTTCTTTCTTTAATACACTGCTTGTCACAATTTCTACCTTGTGTTTGCGGCTGAGGCACTTGTTTGGCCCATCTCAAAAGGTGTATAATTTTTGGTTGCTTTCAAATGAGTAGTCCATTTTACACCTATGGAGAGCAACACCTGTTTAAATAAAATAACAGTATGCCATCGCAGTCGTGAAAATCTTTGAAAGCAACGTGGTGCAGATAAGTGCACGTAAGTTGTAATAAGAACTTGGCATCAGTGCCTGCGATCGCTGTTGTGGCACCAGTGGTCCATGATTCCTGCCACCAAATGCTGAGATGCTTTTCCACGTTGCTGCTTCACATGTAGAGGCACCCCCCACTCCTCGCAGAGAGGTGGCTTGTTTCTGCCTTTCTTGTGCACTTGCGTGGTGAGGAAGAGTGAGAGGAGGTTTGATGGAAGCAGTGCAGCTGTGGGGGAAATGTTTTGATTCCAGTTTGCATGGCAAAGTCATTCCAGATCACACACACTTGACAGGACCGGGAGCTTCAGGAAAGGTGGGAAAGGGTGGTAGAATGAACAAGTATGTTGTAGCATGGGGGCAACAGTTGCTTGTCTCCCTGACTCTTCTGCATTGCTTGTTCAAAGATGTATTAAATGGTGGTTGAAACTAAAATGCTGTAAAACAAGTTGCCCACTTGCTGTGTGTTGTACACAGGTTGTTGCAGTGGGAAGGTGGCCGAGGAGGTTGACTTAATGGGTCTGCGCTTTGACTTGTGTTTATTTGTATACCCTAAAGAAATGCTGCAACTCCTTCCT